AAGTAAATGAGGACACGGAAAACATGATATTTGTAGATTTGGAATCAGAATTGCAACCAATCGCCAATGAAGTCACAGATAAATTTGTGTTAGACTTCATCGATGCCAGACCAGTGTTCTTGAACATCCGAAAATGGCTCGACAAGGCGATGAAGTATTACACCTTTGAGAATCACGCATCGGATTACGCGTATATCGTGCAGGATCTTTCTCAAGCGTTCAAATGCCTGGCGTTCTTCGAAGACAACGGGGACAGACAGGCAAAGATGCACAAACGGCGAATAGACGCCCTAGAGAAGGTAATTCAAGGTTTGAGTCCACGTTTCTATCGTATCATTTGCAGGGAGATATGGCTTGAGCTGGCAGATACATATTTGGAGATCTTGGAAATAAAGATCGATCGTCTGCAAGAGTCTAATGAAAAACCTACCACTCAAATGGTGGAGAAGATCGAGCGTTTAGCGGCAAGTAGCATTAAGCACTATCAGTCATATTTGAATTCCTTAGAGACGAATAAATCCAATAACGGCGTTGAGTCTTTTTTGGATGATCAGCTAAATCAGGCGTTGTATTGTTATTTCCACATTGGAAGACTGTACAATAAGATTATACCTACCGACGTGCAGAAGAGGATAGAGAACATGCAGAAGAGCATCGACGCTTACAGCTTTATAATTAATTATTACACTAATCATCCTGAAAAGCAAGAAGAACTGAACAAATATTCCTTTATACAGGTGTCTAAGGACTTTGTCAACCTTCTGCCACCTGCGTTAGACAAATTGAAACAGCAACAGACGAATCAATAATTATATTTTATTTTTTTAAATTTTATGCTTTAAGAGTATTAAGAGTGTATAAAGGCATTTTGTTATATTTTTTGGTAAAACGCGCATGTATTTGAAACGCATGTTTTTAAAGGCATTTATGATCAGCTGACTTTGCTGTATATATTTATTAACATAATATTATAAAGCAATTAATATTTATGTTTGTAATACAATTACTACATTAAAAACATACAATTGCAGTATATTAAAAAAAAATTTCAGATGCTCCGAAAGAATTGTTGCTTGTGTATTCACACATAATTGCGATATTAGAAATGATTAAATTGATTAAGTATTATAATAATAACAATAAATATAGACATTTGTCTCTTTATTAATCTCTTCTTTTCACGTTTAAAAAGTAAAATGTGCATTACAAATAGAAAAAATGAGGATTGTTTTATGAATAAATTGTAATTGTCTAATGAATACGAACGAGTCATGTATATTTTTTTATGTAATGTGCATATTTATAATTTAATAAATAAAGTTTTGTTTTTTATTACTGACATATTAAGAATTTTTGCGCTTTATTTCACTTATTTATAAAATCTTATACTATATATATACTTATATTATATATATTTTTATTAAATTTTAATTACATAATATTGCACTAAGGGTCGGTTGTTCCAATTTTTTAATAGACTACCTCTCAGTTACTTAAAATAAATATCAATAAATATCAGTAACTGTTGTTCTATTTGTTAATAAAGTTTACTTATAGGTTAAATTGTTATTACCAAAAGGTAATTCTCTCGGTATTCCAATCACCGAGTAAGGATTACTGATATTTATTTTAGGTAATCAAGAATAGTCTGTCAAGAAGTTGAAACACCGGACCTAAAATAGTATAAAAATCATACAACGACATCTCGTGTTACAAACAAAAATGATTAGACGGTTACCGTTCGACTGATAAGAATGAGCGAATAGATGTCAGTACGTGTTTCCCATCTCCTTCGGTAACTCAAGGGTGTCCGCAGAGCCTCGTGCGATCTCACAGCGTATTGATAGAATAGCTTCGACGTTGTCGTCGTCGCCGTTGTTCCTGGACACACACGTTGCGGGTGGAAATGGCGTCCTTGGCGGGTGTCCGTTTGTTGGCGAGGAGTGCCGGCGGTTTCAGAAACACACTCGGCGGCCGATTACGTTGCGCGACTACCGCATTTGTTCAGATGCGATGCTGTGAGCAGAGACTGTTGCACTGCACCGCGCGGACCACACTCGTCGCACCGCAGGTAACGAACATCGTCCTCGTCGTGTCATGACACGCCGTGAACCTCCACCGTTCGAATGTTCGGTCTTCGCGTAGCGTGTTTTGTAAAAATGCATTATGTAACTGAAGCGATTTGTCGAGATACAGCGTCATCGCGACGAGCATGCCGGATTTGTCGTATTATCAGTCGAGTTTGTTGAAATTCAAGAGCTTTGCTCGTCTCAACTGCACTAGCTTGTATTTTCCACATTAAAAATAGTCTAAAAATTGAAAGAAAACAAAAGTTGCAGAATACAATCTAAAATGAAATAAATATATATACACATTCAGGCTTGATAAATACATATACATTCAAAGAATGCAAATGTATATTATGATAAATGCATATGACAATATAAAGCATATTTTTAATATTCATCATTCTACTTATCATAATTTTGACCAGTTTTTAATACATTGATCTCAATGTATATTATATTTGCAGTATGTTAATTACAATAAAAGGTTATTACAATGGAACTAAACATTTGAGACATAAGAATGTAAGATGATTCCCAGATTAATAATGTAATGAGAGTTCTAAATAGCTAATTATTTTTTATTATTTGTATTTAAGATTTGTGTATAAATAGTTAATATTAGATAATGTATTCTTTTTTATTTCTAGAAATGTTTATGATATCATTGAGAGAAAATGATATAAGTTATAATCTTTACTTGATATTAAATTCAATAATTTAAAGACATGCTTTTATCATGTATCTTAACAAAGAGGAAGGAGATTGAAATAGATGAAATCATTTTTCATTTAAGAAATAAATATTAATGCATAAAAATTATTTGATAAATGCAGATCAGGTGCAAACGTGGATATTGTGAAAAAGTTAAAGCAAAACCAGGGTCAGTTAAGGACATTGAACAACGTGTCTTGAAAGCTGTGGCTGCTTATAATGAAGTCACTGCAGAAAAGGTTGCATAAATATATCTTTCTTTTTATGGGAAAACTTTTGCAGGGCTTAAGGGACACACGCATCAAGCAGGTGCGCCACTACAGTCATAAGGATCCACTAACCCTTGACATTATTCGTCAACGGGTGATCTTGGTTCTGAAACTTTATGACAAAATTGAAGCCGCGAAGGTATCCACCAAAGATTAGTGTTTTCGAAACATCTATGAAGACATTTCTGTAAATTGTGCATCTTGTAATGAGCAAAATGAGCAAAAGCATTGTTAAAAATAATATTAAGAAATAAAATTAAATACATAGAGACATATATCAGTTTCTAAAACACATATAGCTTTTTTAATATTAAAAATAATCAGTTGACAATTTTTTCTCTATATAATGTTAACATAGCAATCTTTTCTTTTTCTGCAAGTTTGCGAAACGTCTTGATAGTTTTTAAAATGAAGAATAGCTGGTTAACACCTTGCTTGATCGTGGCGTCTGCATATATACTGACATGTGGATAAGAAACAAACCCTATTTTTATTTTAATTATTAATTTATTGAACATAATAATTT